AGAGACGAAGGGAGAGGGGAATACGAAGAGACCAGCAGACATTGATGAAGCTGCCTAACAAACAGTGACCATTAGGGGCAAGTTGCCCGGGCATGATACCGTATGACTCGAGGAAAAGGACTTTGAAGGGGTGAATAGAGAATTCGCCCAGGTCCTTGATAGAGTGGTAGTGAATGCCAATCGACGTACCGACATGGAGAGGGATAATGCTCTTCCATGTTGCCCGGTAAGTCAATTGGTACCCATCCGGCATCAGGTTGCGCACCTCGTGGACTTGGGCCTTCTGCATGATCGACGATTGCGTTTGAACCAACCGGTCGTCAAGGAGAATGAAGCCCTCGTCCTCGGGCTGGGCAACCGAGGCCACGGGAAAAGAAGGAGCGCAAGTGGAAGCATCAACCGGCTTCTTCTGTGGAGAAGTAGCCGGGTGCTCGGAGTCAGAGGATGAAGAAGAAGAAGAGGAACCAAAGGTCGGAGACCGGCCGCCAGAACCATAAGAGTGAACGGAAAGGTTCTGGCTATCCTCACGGTCTGACATGACTCAGAAAAGGAAGGAAAGAAACTTACTTGGAGACGGTGACTCAGAGGACTCGTGAAAAAGCAAAAGCAGCCGGGCAGTTTTTGAATTGAAGATTTGCAAGTGAGGAAATTCTAGGGGGAACCTCGCTTTATATAGGGGGAGTGCCGCCCTGACGGACGAATGGCAGAATGACACGTGGCGAGCGAAATGATTTCTCATCATAACCTCTCGGGAAGACGAAACGGCACAATGAATCGGCGGCTCCGTACCCGACTTCGAGAAGATTCTCCCGCCTTAGACACCTGGTTTTCGAAATTTAAATTTTGAAAATTCAAATTTCAAATATTTTGGGTTGGCGCTGGTTTTCCGAGACGATTTTCCCGCCAAAAAGCGACTGGGCAGTTCAAATTTCAAGAAATAATCGCATGTGCTTCCCGCCCCTGATGGTCCCCACAGGACCGGGAATCGGAGGACTCCTTGATGGGTAATAACCCATGGATACCACCCGGTTGGTTCGTCCGACTGGGAGGTGACGGAAGTGACAGAGCACATCCTTCTCAGACCGGGTCGTGAAGCCGGTTGGGTAGTACTCTTATGCAGCCGGTCAGACGAATGACTGGTTGGATAACCAGAGACGTGCTTGACTTGCTTAGGATTACTATAAATACCCCTAAAAGCCTCATTTGTGAGGCATGCTTTAATTAATCCACACGGCCTGTACTGATTGTAACAAATTCTTACTTTCATTAATAACAAGCCGGGTTACAGGTGTTCCCACTTACAACCCTCCCGATCACTTATACTTAGCATTTGCGTGGTAATTTACGCCATCACTAACCATACGTAGTATTTTTTATTCTGTTAAAACATTATTTTCATTCCTTGAAATTCATCGGTTAACAACCAAAGTATAAAAATTTACTCAAACAAATGTTTTTCTCTCCAAAACGAGACAAGAACACTTTGTCAGCTTCTCTACAATTTATTTTGTATGCTTCCATTGAATAAGCTTAAGCTTTCATCCTATTCTTCTGTCAGTCTGTGCATGACTATATATTTGTTTCTTAGCTGTAATGTTAATAAAAATCAATGATCTAATTTTTTTGGGAAAAATTATCTTAAATAATCTCACATTTTCACATTTTTTCAAAAATAATCTCATTTTTCATAGTTACCGGAATAATCTCACCTTTCCGCATGTGTGTGAGATTTGAGTCGCAGTTTAGAAGCTCACGGCCACTTAACGGAATTTTTGGAAAATGCTTTTTTTTTTTTGCAAATAAATGAAAGATGATACTCCATCCGTCCTAAAATTAATTTCTCAGTTTGACTTTTGTAGTCAAACTTTTTAAACTTTGGCCGTATATTACGGAAAAAATACATTGAATTTTCATATAAATTTATTAGCAATAAATTCATTTTGAAACATAGTTTTGAAATATATAATTTTTATAAAATATATTTATATAAAAATTGAGATATTGATGGTCAAAGTGTCGCATTGGAGACCGTGAAAAGTCAAATGAGAAGTTAATTTTAGGACGAAGGAAGTATTACTTTAGGCAAATTTACTTTTTTTTTGTAAATTTAAGATTTATATTTTTTTAAAATATAGACATTGATGACCATGTGACGATATGTGACGTTATATGGAGACGGTTGGCAGCAGTGTGGTGGCATGCGCAACCAATGATATTGATATCAATGTGGCGGCATATGAAAGAGCAATTTCACATGTAAGAGTTGGCGGTCTGACGATAGGCTGTGGGTGACAATTAATTGGATGCATAGTTTTTTCAAAATTGTAAATACATTTCTATATTAAAAATTTGGCAAGACTATATTGACACCGAAAATGGGGGTAATAATAATAATAATAATAATAATAATAATAATAATAATAATAATAATAATAATAATAATAATAATAATAATAATAATAATAATAATAATAATAATAATAATAATAATAATACTTTCAGTTACATATCGAACGTTGACATTTTTAATTTAATTCATATTATGGAGATATAAAAATGATATGAATCTGTGATAAAGTTATACTTGTATGTAATTCAAAATTGAGTCTCGTCTTAATCTCTTCAAACAAAAATGTCATCAGCAATTTTGGTTTAACCTTATAAGCTTAATTAATACGGAGTAGCAAATTAAGAAGTACATGTATTAAGTAATGGTCAGGGCAGATACATAGGCTGCAATAGGATAGCCCAATGTAATATTTTTAGAAATCACTCCTAATAGGATTAAAACATTGTGTTTATCCCTAAAATAGGAGTTCATGTTTTTTATCCCCCAACTAGGACCTCTCCCGCCATATTCAAAGAAAGAGAGGGCTAAAACGGGAGGAAAAAGAAAGGCGCAGTGTGAAGTGTTAGGACGGGGCAGATGTAATGTTGAGAAACATTATGTGTAATGGTGTAATGTATGATACTGTGAAATGTAAACAATGGTTCGTAATATTCATCACCACATTACAGATTATGACACTGGTAATATCCACATTACATACTTTGCTGGATTATCATGATTTTTTTTAATTGCATATTAACCATTGAATATTTTTATTTTTTTGTTATGCATTTAAATCCAACATGTCCATATGAGTTTAAACTTTAAAGGACAAAACATGCACATGTTGTGAATTCCAACTTGATCAATTTATTTGCATTCATGGTCATGCTTGGTAATGTAAATGTATATTAACTCAGATTTCGGGAATAAAAACATGAAGCTTCTATTTTGTTATATTTTTATTGTTTTACTCCTATTTTAGAGAAAATACTAACATTGGAGCTCCATGTTTTTATTTCCAAAATAAGAGTTCGCACTGTGGTAATGTGACATGTGAACATGTGGTCAAGTACTTGTGGTCTTGTAGACATGTAGCGCGATTAATGAGGTAATGAGGAAAAAATCCCGCGTCACAAATGTTGAGAAATATTTTGGGGATGGCAATGCAAATTTATTCATATGTGGTGAATTTATGTTTTGAATTCCTATTTAAAATATATTTTCTATTTTTTAAATCTTATTTAGGTTTCCCCCTATGCGTGTGTGTGGGTGTGTGGAGGAGCCTTTCATGGAGGTCCTCTTCTTAATTTCAACTCTCTTTCCTTTTCATCTCAAAGGAAATGTATTTCTTTTTTCTTTTTCTTTCTTCTGCCAAAGGCAAATGACTCTAGCCCGGGGATGCCGATCCAAAACGACTCCTATTTAATATTGCTGATTTGCTGGCCTTTACTTCCTCATGCATGAAAATGCTAGTTCCGGATTTTGGATTAAAGCAAGGGCATTTTGGGGTGCCGTGTAAAAAATTAGTCTTAGATAGGGGATTTTAAGTTTACAGTTTTATTTAGGGATATTGTGTATGTTTTAGTCCTATTTAGGTATATCTTCCTAATATTTTATTGTTTTTGGTGATAATTGAATTAGTGATATGCTTCAAATAATAAATGAAGTAGGAATAATACTCCCTCCACCCTCTAAATTGGCGACATTTTGATTTCACTCAATTAGGAAAATTTAGTTGTCAAAAAAATTGTTCAAATGTAAAGAGTGTGCGGTTAAAATTATTTAGAGAAGACCAAGAATTCTTGGTAATCATATACTCCCTCCGTCCCATGAAACATTTTCCGTTTCAAAAATGGCGCGCCTTTAAAATGAGTAATTTTGGTATTATTTTCTAATTTTGCCTTTACTTTATAAAAGAGTAGGATGAGATGTGTAGAATAGATTAATCATAATTAGAAAATAGCACCAAAATTACTCATTTTAAAGGCCGCCATTTTTTGAAACGGGAAATGTTTCATGGGACGGAGGGAGTATATATTTCCAAAATAGGATGACCCGGAGTGCTCCGGTGCCACGTTCAAAAAATTGACGGTTCTTCCCTTTAACCCCGGTAAACTCCCCATCCCGCCCTGACCCGAATACACCCCCATCCCCTTCAATTACACCCAAGTTAATTTTGATTTTTCAAATTTTAACTTCAAGTCAAAATTAACTTAGGATGCAATTGAAGGGGGTCGGGGTGGGGTGGGGGATTTATCAGGGAGAGGTTAGGTGGGTAGGAACTTTTTAATTAATTTTATGAACGGTACACAGGATCATACGAACTCAGCCTAAAATGTAAAGTCCAGTGATTCTACAGGAAAAAAAAGATTATACGCAGGATTGACAACAATTTTCTGGAGTTAGATTTCAACACGAAAAGCATCTGCTTCATCAATACCCATCTGTAGAAAGTTGAAACATACCCAAAAACCGATTAAGTAACAGAAACACTCCCCATACTTTTATTAATGAGAGTCTGGTAATCCCTCAAGCTCTCGTCTCTTTCATTCGCTTCTGGTCCCTGACAGCTACAGATCTTATGTAAGTAAGTTCTCCTGCCAATTGCCATGAAACCAATCCTTAAAGTTCTTCCTTTTTTGGGATATTTTTGCTGTTTAAAATCAACCCAGCATTCATAATTTAAAGATTCGACCAATTTGGTGCTTTCTATATTTGTGTTTTTGTTTGATTTTTTTCTGTTTTAATGTTTGGGTAACATCGTTAAAAAAGCTGCCCATTACGCCATTACTTGTTGTTCACTGATATGTCAGATGAGCTATGGCTAGTTTAGTTTCAGATTTTAAATACCCAAGATGCATTTTTTCATTTTCAATGGTTTCATGAACATTTTCTTTCTGAAAAAAAGAAGCTTTTCTAGGTTGAAAATAACATCGTGTTTTTTGTTCTTTTTCTTGAAAAAAAATAAAATTTGCTTTTTGCAGCCTTCAAGAATTCTGCTATTTGGTGATGGTAGATTTTCTTGAATTCTTGACTTTAAAGTCGGTGGAGGTTTCTTTTTCCCATCAATAGGTGGTTGTTTGATTAAGCAGTCTTACCAACCGCCATTGGAGTCTGGAGTTAATCTTAAGCTATGGTTCTTGGACTGAGGTCAAAAACCAGAAAGGAGAGTTCTGTTCAGGCTGATTTCATCATCTATATAGAGGATCTCAAGCCTTGGCCTCCATCAAAGTCCCTCAAATCTGTCCAATCCGTGTTGTTTGTGTGGGAAAACGGCGAGCAGAACTCTGGGTCATTTGTATCTGATGTTGGAGAG